TTTCTGTGGTTGATTTTGGGTTTTTTGGAGGAAATTAGGGTTGGGAGTGGTAATGTGTTGAGTGTGTTGGAATTGTTAAGGGTCCTGACATCGTTCCTCCTCCCCCTATATGCAAAAATTAAGATGTCTTCAGAAGAGGCCAGGAGTGTAGTGGGGAGTGAAGTGATGCCCTTGGAATATGGTGGCATGGATTCGGAGACCAGTCCGTCTCCAACTAGTTCGGAGAGGACAGTGGAGGAAAGGAGGGATCAAAGTGTGGTAGAAGAGGTAGAAGAGGTAGAAGAGGAAGAAGATGAGATTCCCTCCAACATTTTGGAGGCGGGGAATAGGGTAGATGGGTGTTACGACCCAGATTTAGATATGGTATGTGAGGTGAGGGGGTATGTGAGCGAGTTAGGTAGCAGAGAAAGTCTTAGGGGCCTAGTGGACAACTGCAACCTCCCTCACCATGTCCTAATTAGGCCTGCCGGGGTGAATGAGAGGGCATGCTCAGCACCCCGAGACCATTGGATGCCCCTATATGTCCATTATCTGATAGCAGGTCTTAGGTTTCCCATTCCAGAATTACTGGTTGGGCTATTGTTAGATTACAGCATAGGAATAACCCAATTAACCCTAAATGTCATAAGGGTAATAATAGGCTTTCTTGTGTACTGCCGAGTTCGGGGGGTGGGGGTCCCAACCGTAAACATGTTTAAACATTTTTTTATTATTAAGGCTGGGGGTAGGGGAGAGAAGGGGTGGTACTACTTCGGTCGTCGGTCGTCCAGCAAGGATAATAGGAATTTATTCACTGCTGGACCGTCATCCATCAAAGGATGGAAAGAAAAATTCTTCTTTGTGGATGACACCGAGTGGAGCATGAGGGATGCCGAGGTGGAGCAGTTGTCTGCTTGGAAAGCTAAGAAAACCAAGCAGAACAACTATAAATTAAATGAGGGTGAGGTGGAGGAGGTGGAGAAGCTGGAGAAGCTGGTGAGGGAGGAAGGAGATGTGGTGGACATCTTGTACCTCACCAGTCCGCAGGCAATAGAGGCTGCTGAGCTCTATGGGCCAAGCTCATTGAGTGAAGGTTTGTGTATGTTTATACTGTGCTATGTTGGTTAGATTTTAGTTGGTGTGTGTTGACCTTTATGCTTGTTTTGCAGCTGAGATGGAAGAGTTTACAAATGCTGCTGGGGGGCTGCGCATCCCGAAGAAGCCAAGGAAGAAGTCAAGGACTTCAACTGCGGCGAACAAAGGGGCGGTAAAGAGAGAGCGCCTGCCCAGCACTTCTGCTCGAGTGTTGGAGATACAGCCAAGACCAGAAGTTGTGATGGGGGGGAGTGAGGATGTGAGCGAGGAAGTGGCACCGCTCCAAAGGAAGAAGAGGAAGGTGTCACAACCAGAAGCCAGGGGGGATGAGGTGGTGGAGTTCGTGCCTCGGCCTTCTCCTCCAGAAACTGATCCTGAAGTCCGGGATAGGGAAGAGGTCGAGGTGCGAAGCCTTGGTGGGGGCAGGGAGCGTACCCCTCCTCACACGTACCAGAAGAGTTTGTTTAAGGCAACAAACACGACTGGGGCGAAGCACTTCCTCAACTCATCTCTTCCTGAGGTGGATAGGAGGCAGGGGAAGGACGAGGTGGTGAGCCATGTGGGGTATACCGTTGTGAGGCATGCCCTGGAGGTATGTAAAGGAATCGTAAATATATGATTGATTTTTTTTTTTTTTTTGACTTCTGCGTTTGAGGTCTGATGTCTGCTTGCCTTGCAGTGTGCAAGCTGGACAAACGCTCTTGTGCAGGAGTATGCAGAGAGTGTGAGAGATCGTGCCAGCTTGCTGAGGCAGTGCGAACAGCTGCAGAAGGAGAAGGATGAGCTGCAGAAGGGAAAGGGGGAATGGGAGAAGGAGAAGAAGGAGATGCAGAGGAGGCTGGATGAAGTTCTCCCTTCAGTGACCGAGCTCCAGAACGAGAATGATGTCCTGAGCACGAAGCTTGTCCTCGAAAAACGTAAGAGAAAGATCTGTGAGGAGAAGCTCGAGGCTGAGGACAAATATATTGACAACATGAGGAAAGGAGCAACGGAGCTGAAGAAGAACGTGAACCTGCTAGTTCACAACGGGATGGAGGAGCACATAGGCAACTTCCTCAACTCCAGCACCTTCGAGGACATCCTCAAACTCTACCGGCTGCTAACCGCAATTGTGGCCTTCACCGACTGTAGAAAGAAGGTGAAGGCCCAGTACTCAGAGGTGGACGTGACAACAGTCACCTTTGGGGAACAAGAAGAAGGGGTGGAGGAAGATGGGGAGAGCCTCTATGCTGACTTCCGACCTCAGATTACGCTGAGGTGGGAGCGTGATGCAAAGGGGCTCACTATTTTTCCTCCAACCTTCGAGGCTGAGTTGGTGGCAGTGGGGGGAGAAGAAGAAGAAGAAGAAGAAGGAGTGCAGGGCGCTGGAGCTGAGGATCAGGCAGCAATGGCCGAAGTGCAGCCTCCCGAGGTGTAGCAACTGGCCCCTCCTGAAGTAGAAGTGCCACCCCTGCCCTCTGGAGACCAGCCACCCCCACCTCCTCTTCCTGCCGAGGAGCAGCCTCCTCCTCAGCAGATTAGCTTAGGAGTTTTTTTTTTTTTGTATTTTTAGTTATATTGGTATATATAATTTTTTGTACTTGATTGGTTATTAAGTTATAAAATTTTTGAAGTTATTTTGATGTTTGTTATTTTTGTTTCAAGTAAATCACTTCAAATGAAATAAGATAACCATAAGGAACTGACCTCGGACACCATAACACGTTTTAGCCAAGGAATTGACTTCGGACATGCACGAGGCAGACCACAAATAAATGAAAGGAGATGAAATAAACCAGTGTAATGGAAAAAATTGCATCCCAGAAAATGAAAGGATTAAATAAGCCATAAGGAATTAATTGCTAATGCTCAGATGGGTAAAAAGAACTGAATTACTTCGAATGTGAAGTGAATTCATATGAATTGAGTTTTAATATACAGCAATCAAAATAATGGTGGTTAAAACAAAGTTTACTGGAAAGAAGTGTGCTAAGGGTAGAATTTCTTCAAATTTTTGACATTCCAGACCCTGGGAACCCGATTGCCTTTAGTGTCTCGTAGGATATAAGCACCTGGGTGCGGCACTTCGGCAACAGTGTAGCCAGTTCGGTGCCAACTTGCCGAATCGAGTTTCGAACCCCGTTAGACCAGCTTTCCTGAGGACAAGGTCTCCTACTTTGAATGTTCGAGGTCGAACTCGTTTGTTGTAGAAGTTTGCTATTTTCTGCTTGTAGACTAGAGTTCGAAGTCGTGCTTCTTCTCTAACGTCATCAAGCAAATCAAGGTTCTCTCGAAGCAGTTGTCCATTTCGTCCTTCATCGAAATGGGTGACTCTGAAGCTTGGAACCCCTATCTCGATAGGAATGACTGCTTCAGTACCAAAGGCCAGATGATAGGGTGTTTCACCTATTTCAGTGGATTATAACTTTAGAATGCGCTTTACACGTTATGCACATTTGCTCTAAGGTAAAACCGTAGCAAAAGAAGTAAAATAATATTAATCAAATAGGCTAGGTGTATAGTAATACCTGTGGCAGTTCGACTCGTAGTTCTGTATGCCCAGAGGACGTTGTTGAGCTCGTCTGCCCATCTAGCCTTTTGTTGTTCCAGCCTCGGTTTTATTCCTTCTAAGATGAACTTGTTAACAGATTCGACCATGCCGTTGGACTCCAGATGGTAAACCGAGGTGAACTGCAGTTTAATCCCGTAACTGGAACAGAAATCTCGAAAAGAAGTGTAGTGAAATTGAGTTCCATTATCAGCCACAATCTGATTCGGGATCCCATATCTGCAGATGATTGAGCTGAACACAAAGTCTTCAACCTTCTTGGAAGTAAGATTGGATAACGGCCGAGCTTCAACCCACTTTGTGAAATAATCTACATCAACAATTAGGTGGGTTACACCACCAACCCCTTTCACGAATGGGCCCAAAAGATCTAAGCCCCACTGAGCAAATGGCCATGGTGCTACCAGAGTAGTGAGCTCTTCTGCAGGCTGGTGAGTTAGGTGCGCAAAGAACTGGCATTTCATGCATCTCTGAACAAAGTGAGTAGCATCCTTGTACATGTTGGGCCAATAATAACCCTGTCTGAGGACTTTATGAGCCAAAGTTCGAGCCTCTACGTGACTTCCGCAGACACCTTCATGCACCTCCCTAAGTGCATATTCTGCTTCATAGGGATTCAAGCACCGTAGGAGAGGGAGTGAGAAAGATCTCTTATAGAGGATCCCATCAACAAGTGTATACCGAGATGCTTTCTTCATCAACCTCATTGCCTCCTGCTTATCCTCAGGTATTACCCCGTCTCGAAGGAAGGAGATAATTGAGTCAGTCCAGCCTGGCGTACCTGGGTCTGTGCTGATTTCCATCACCCGTGGCTTCATGAAGCTTGGTTCATCTAAGACCTCCACGAAAACTGATATGGACTGTGAAGAACTATCATAGGCGAATTTAGAGAGTGAATCTGCCTGTTCATTCTCAGTCCAGGGGATTTTGCTCAGACAGAATTTCTGGAATTTGCACTTCAGCTCGGCCACCAGAGCTACATATTTCATCACCACAGGATCAACAACTTCGCAGATTGAGTTAATTTGGTTTACCACCAGCTGGGAGTCACTGTACACTTGGATCGTACTGAGTTTTAATTCCAATGCTAGCTGCAAACCAAGTAGCAGGGCTTCATACTCAGCCATGTTATTTGTTGCATCGAAGTTGAACTTCAGGGCATGTTCACTGCGGTATCCATCTGGGCCAATCAAGAGAGCACCAGCTCCCGAACCTTTGCTACTAGATGCCCCATCAACATATAAGGTCCAGTCATTGGGCTCAAGAGTAGGAGTGGAATTACCTGGAGTGCATTCTACAATAAAATCTGCCAATGCCTGAGCTCGGATCGCAAATCTTTGCTGAAATGTTATCTCAAATTCCCCCAGTTCTACTGCCCACTTAATTAATCTTCCAGAACACTCAGGCTTTTGCAGAATCTGCTTAAGGGGTTGGTCTGTAAGAATAATGATCGGGTGCGACTGAAAATATGGCCTCAACTTTCTGGCCGAAGTGACAACTGCTAAGGCTGCTTTCTCAGCTATAGGATACCTCAGTTCGGCTCCATGCAGCACACTGCTGATATAATATATTGGTTTCTGCT